TTACATAGGAAAAGGAATCAAATAAAAAGTATTAAAGAATCCCTATAGACAAAAGCCTAAGTAATTAAGAAAACTAGACAAATAGGAAAAGGAAACAAAAGATAATTTAGAAAACCCTTACAAACACAGGACATACTACCAAATAAGCAAAACAAGCAGACAAAAGACACAAAATATAAATTACAAAAGGCACAGACAGGAGATTGCCACAGAACAAATATGAAAAACTATCTAAAAGAGATTACAGAAAGCCAATAATACAATCTGGCCACCCCGTGGAGCTTGCCTTCCGCACCCCGCGGAGTTTGCCCTCCGAAAGAAATAAAGACAAACTCAAATAGGATTTGAAACATTAGGCACAAATACAAACACTCACATAAAATCAACTTACAAGGGGAGAAAAGGGTATAAAAAACCAGGGACTTACCATAAGAAGCTAGCTAGCCCAGGAACGCAGACTTCTCGCTGTTCTCCGCCTTCCTAAAAAATAAAAAGATCCAGCTTTCAAGCAGTTGTCCCTATCCTTGTGCTGGAGCTCTCCCAGCGGGAAAATCAAATCCTCGAAAGAAAGGCATTTTGACACCTTTCAACAGTGCCAAGCCCCGGGTCATCACAGCCTTCTAGTCCAACCCCCTGCTTAAGCAGGAGACCGTATATCCGTGATGGCAAACCAATGGCTCGCCTGCCACAGGTGTCATGCAAAGCTATTTGTGCTGGCAAGCGAGCTGCAGGCAAACTTATCTCACTGCGCATGTACACACCTCACAGCTAATTTTCGGCCTGCCAGAAGTGACAAAAGGGGCCTATTTTTCAGCCTGCAAAGGCTGCAGAAGCCGTCCTCAAGCTTCTGGGAGGCTGAAAATCAACTGGGAGGTGCAGTGCAGGTAAAGGGGGAGCAATTGCACGCGCATGCGTAGGGGGCATGGGGCGACGCACGCATTGCCTTCTGGGTGTTGGCATGTGAGCGTGCGCACAAGAACGTGCGCACAATTTTTAGCACAGGAGCCCAAAAAGGTTAGCCACCACTGCCCTATACCAAGGGTCTTCAAACTTGGCAAGTTTAAGACTTGTGGACTTCAACTCCCAGAATTCCTGAGCTAACATGACTGGAGGAGGAATTCTGGGAGTTGAAGTCCACGAAGTCTTAAAAGTTTGAAGAGCCCTGCCCTATACCATTTCAGACAAATAGTCATCCAGTCTCCAGTCAAAAACCTCCAGTGATGAAGCACCCACAACTTCTGACAGCAAGCTGTTTCACTGGTCAATTGTCGTCACTGTTAGGAAGTTTCTCCTTAATTCCAGGTTGCTTCATTCCTTGGTTAGTTTCCACTCCATTGCTTCTTGTCCTGCCCTCAGGGGCTTTGGAGAATAGGTTGACCCCTCTTCTTTGTGGCAGTCCCTCAAAAACTGGAATGCTGCCATCATGTCATCTCTCGTCCTGCTATTCTCTAGACCAGGGGTCCCCAACCACCAGGCCGCGGTCTGGTACCGGTCCGTGGAACATTTCCTACCGGGCCGCCGGTTTGCTGGGCGCCACCATCTTGTTTGACGAGAAAGTGCTTCCGGGTGAGCTTTTCCAGTTGGAAAGTGGCATTTGGGTCCTGAAGGAATCCTCGCGCCTTAGTTTCATCGAAGGGGGGGGGCTCTAACGAAACTAAGGCGCGAGGATTCTTTCAGTACCCAAGGCAAGGTGAGCCGAGTGACCGTCCCAAAGCCGTCCCAAAGCGAAGCCCATCGACAAAGGTACAAAGGAGGAGTTGAAGGTGGTGGGGAGAAGTGGGGGACGGCTGGCTGGCCGGACGCTCGGCTCGCCTTGCCTTGTCATGCGTGCTGATGCTGGTACCAGGCCGTGGATCATTTTGTGATGCCAGTACTGGGCCGTGGCACAAAAAAGGTTGGGGGCCACTGCTCTAGACTAGCCATACCCAAATCCTGCAGCTGTTCTTCATATGTTTTTGTCCCCAGGCCTTTAATCATCTTAGTTCAGGGATCCCCAAACTCGACAACTTTAAGACTTCTGGACTTCAATTTCCAGAATTCCTCAGCCTGCTCTGCTGGCTGGAGAATTCTGGAAGTTGAAGTCCACAAATCTTAAAGTTGCCAAGTTTGGAGACCTCTGTCTTAGTTGCTCTTCTCTGCACCTTTTCTTTCTTGTAATATGGTGACCAAAACTGGATGCAGAATTCAGGTGTGGCCTTACTAAGGCTTTAAAAAATGGTACTACGGGTAATATTTCACATGATCTTGATTCTATGCCTCTGTTTATACAACCCAGGATCGGATTAGCTTTTTTGGCTGCTGCTGCTGCACACGGCTGGCTCATGTTCAAGGGATCATCCACTAGGACTCCAAGGTCCCTCTCACGGTTACTGTTTTTGACCCAGGTTTTGCCTAATCTGTACTTAATCCTGTCATTTTTCCTGCCTAAGTGTAAAACCTTGCTTTTCTCCACATTAAATTTCATTTCATTGGAGAGGGCCCCTTGTTCAAGTCTGTCAAGATCCAGAATAATTAAATGAGTGGAACAGCTTGCCTTCCAGAGCTATAGATGCTCCAACACTGGAAGTTTTCAAAAACAGAATGGATAACCCTTTGTTGGGATGGTGTAAGGCAGAGGGACAGCTTCCGGGGTGTCACCAGAAGGAGAGATATCCCATGGAGTCCTTCGGAGAGTTACCTTTAATGGATGAGTCGGGTGGGATTCTACTTTCCACTGGGTAGGTGCAGCCAACTTAACTCAAGACCAGTGAATCCACGGTTTTAATCCAGCTCCCTTAACAGCAAGGGGAGAACACATAACAACAGTATACGGCTCTTTCCACTCTGGGCTCAATACTTCCCTTTTCCAATCTTTAACCCAAGACCTCCTGTCCTGGATGTATGTTATGTGGGGAGGTCACTAAGACATGGGGTTTACAGGTTAACACATATTGTTGTAATCTTTGGACTATCGTATTAAGAGCTTGTAGCTGTTCCATTCTAACTGTATCAGAAATCTGTATAATATTGTGAATATTTGGACGAAGTAAATTGGGGACCCGGCCATATCGTAACTCAAATGGTGATAGTGAGACACCTTTCTGAGGAGCACACCTGACAGCGACCAGAGCCAAACTCAAAGCATCTGGCCATTTAAGGTGGGTTTCCTGACATATTTTGGCCAAGTTTTCCTTAATAATTCTATTAACCCTCTCAACCCTGCCTCCAGAGGGGGCCTGGAAGCTACAATGGAGTTTCCAAGTGATACCCAATATCTTAGCTAATTGCTGAGTGGCCTTGTGGATAAATTCAGGACCATTGTCTGATGAAATTCTAGAAGGCAGGCCATATCTGGGGATTATGATGTGGAGTAGTGCCCTGACAACTTCAGTAGCCTTCTTTGTGTGGGTAGGGATACACTCAGGCCATCCTGTGTAGGTACATACGATGACTAGCAGTGCATTGTAGTGGCCAGAGAGGGGCATGTCTGTGAAGTCAATCGTTAAGAGAATCAAACGGGTAGCTGCCCCTTGGTTGGTGAGCTGGTGGTGGTTGGGGCCCTTGTCTAGGGTTATTTGCTGCACAAATTTCACACCTGGCGACTCTGGAGTTGTACGTGTGTGCGTGTGTGTGATAAACAGGTGAATCTGGCGGGAAGAAAAAAAAAATCCTGTCAGATTGACCTGTTTTGTTCACCATAGGCTCAGACTTTTCCCGCCCAAACGTGACAGACCGGCTTCTTTTCTTCTATTGGCTGCCAGGGGGGTCAGGTGGAGCTCTCTCTCTCTCTGGCCACGCCCCCAGCAGCCTATTTCAGGGGGGCTCTTCTTGACGAAGCTGGCAGAGGAAGAAGAGCCTGTCCTCTTGTCTGAAGGAGGCTGCTGAGGGCGTGGCCAGAGAGAGCCACCTGACCCGTGGCAGCCAATAGAAGAAAAGAAGCGGGCTCTGTCAGATTTGGGCGGGAAATGTTGGAGTCTTCCTCAGTCATCTTTTGCCTGAGGGAATCACCTCAGAGTAGAGAGGAAGCAATGGCGGGGGCGTTAGGATGCCATCAAATTCAGAATATACCTGGAAGGGACTTTGGAGGTCTTCTAGTCCAACCTCCTATTCGAGGTGATCAGGTTTTCTTGGTAGTGGAATGGAATCTTTTGGGTACTTTTTATTGGAATGGAATGGAATATAATTTTATTGTCGCTTTAAATGTACACTAATCAGCATACATTAAAATGAAATTTCGTTGCACTCAGCTCTCAAAAAATAACCGTTATACATATATACCCCCTACACACATATATGTCTTTGAAAAGTATCTTGAAGTCCCAATTGGTTCAAAATGCAGCAGTCCACATAGTTTTAGAAAACCATGCTGGTTATCTTTAAAGCACTACAAGGCTTGTGACCAGGTTATTTATTTATTTATTAAATTTCTAGAATCGCCAATCTCACCTAAGTGACTCAGTACCTAAAAGAGATATACAACTATTAAACCACAAAGGTGTAAGATTTTCTTTCCTACAGTAGGCACGAAGGAAATGTTAAGTTTCGAAGGCCTTTCTGAGAAGTGGCTAAAAAATAAAGACGAATTTCTCTTACTGAATTTACAAAAAGAGGCTTACTAAAGTTTTGATATATCCCTGGGAGAATAATGATTCTATATGCCTCTGTTAATGCAACCTAGGATTGCATTGGCTCATGTCTATGGAAATTCTCAGTCATCCAGGTCATGATTGTCCTAGAGGTGTTTTTTTTTTTAAAGAGGCAACTGGACTTTCTGGTTTTTCTCTGAAGACGTTTTACTTCTCATCTAAGAAGCTTATTCAACTCTGACCAGATGGTGGGGACTGGAAGGATTTATACCCTTTTCAGGCTGCATTGAAAAGTCCATGTTGCAGAATGAGACGAGGCTGCACACATTTTGCTTCCACAAGGAAGGCTAGAAACACCCAGTCACATGACTACAAAGCCACGCCCACCAACCAAGCCACGCCCATTAAAAAATTGAATCCCACTCCTGGCTGGAAACTTGCTTTATTTTCAGACAAAAAGTTGGAGTAGACGAAATCCAGCTGCTTGGATTCCCTGTCCCAGTATCCACAGCTGCCATTCAGGACTGACATATGGGCCTATCGAGGAATTGCACAGAGGTCAAAGGGACGGGGCTTCAGAGTGCCTCCCCCAACCGGGTCAAGTTTTATATCTTTTGATCCGTTGGGCAAGTAGAAATTGAATGTATGCATAAGGTTGCTAAAGAACAGGAAGAGCTCTGTTTTTGCCAAATTCTCTCCCACACATACTCGATGACCTAGGAATGGAGAGGAAAACAACAAATCAGTGCTGGTAGTGATTGATTAGGGAAGAAGTGGGGAACTATGGCACCCTTTATGACTTGTGGACTTCAACTCCCAGAATTCTTGAGCCAACATGGCTGCCTTAGGAATTCTAGGAGTTGAAGCCCCTTATGGCTGGCTCAGGAATTCTGGGAGTTGAAGTCCACAAGTTGTCAAAGGGCCATCATGCCCCACCCCTCGGTTAGAGGAACACCTGTGATTTCTAACCAATTTTTCTATAGAAGTAAATTGAGTGACATCCCAGCTCTAGTTCATGCTGGCTGAGGAATTCTGGGAGTTGAAGTCAACAGGTCATAGCAATAGCAAGAGCACTTAGACTTCTATACTGCTTCATAGCGCTTCACAACCCTCTCTAAGCGGTTTACAGAGTCAGCATATTGCCCCCAACAATTTTGGGCCCTCATTTTACCCACCTCAGAAGGATGGAAGGCTGAGTCAACCTTGAGCCTGGTGAGAATTGAACTCCAAATTGCAGTCGGTCGACAGTCAGCAGAAGTAGCCTGCAGTACTGCATTCTAACCACTGCGCCATCGAAACTCATACAAGGGCCATTGTTCCCCACTCCTGGACTTTAAAGCTTGCAAGGTGCCTGACCTGAATTCCCTTGGACACTGTTGTCCTCACCGCTGTCCGGTAAGGGGAATATAGGTAGTCCTCAATTTACAACCATTCCTTTAGTGGTCATTCAAAGTTACAAAAGCACTGAAAAAAGTGACTTATGACTATTTTCCCACACTTATAACCATTGCAGCATCCCTACGGTCATGTGATTTATGTTCGCATGTTTTGACAACTGATTCATATTTATGACAGTTGCTGTGTCCTGGGGTCATGTGATCGATCCCCTTTTGCACCCTTCTGACAAGCAAAGTCAATGGGGAAGCCAGATTCACTTAACAACTGTGTTACTAACTTAAGAACTGAAGTGATTCACTTAAATATAACAGGAAAGGTCGTAAAATGAGGCAAACTCACTTAACAAATGTCTTACCTAGCAACAGAAATTTGGGGCTCAATCAAGGATTACCTGTACAACTCCATCCAAAATAGGCTATGAGACAAGTCATCAAGAAATTCCTCTCCTGTCTCTGGATTTGTTACATCTAATATTCTTTCCATTTCTCTCCTAGCCTCTTCCCAATTTCTCATACATATAAATCCAGCCACTTACTCGTTGCTTGTATAGTATGATCAAGGCATTATAGCAAAACTGAAACTGCCAGCACATACCATTACCTGCTCCCTCCCCCACTCTCTCTTTCTCTTTCTCTCTCTCTCTCTGCCTCTCTTTCACTTCTTTTCTCTCTCTCTTCCTCTTTCTCTTTGTTTCTCTTTTGTTTCTCTTTCTCTCTTCCTCTTTCTGCCTCTCTCTTCCTTCCTCTTTCTCTTTCTTCCCCCTCTTTCTCTTCCTTTTTGTCTTTCTCTTCCTCCCTCCCTCTCTCTTCCTCTCTGTCTCTTCCTTCCTCTCTCTCTCTTCCTCTCTCTCTTCCTCTCCCTTTTTCTCTCTCTCTTCCTTTCTCTCTCTCTTTCTTTCTTTTCTTTTTTCTCTTCCTCTCTCTTTCTCTCCATCCTCCCCCCCCCCCCCAGTTCTGTCTGTTCAGTCAGCTGCCTCATCTGTTTTTTGGTTGATTTATCTATGTATCAGCATTTTCGTAACAGACATATGAGCTTATTTACATAATCAGATTATGTTTCCCAAAGTAGTATTCCTATCCATGGTTGGAGCCGATCCACAATGTGCATTATTATGGCAACTCCATGAAACAGGCTACTGTTGCAAACCACCTAAGACTAGGATGTTTCATGCCTAACAGTGAGCCCACAGGATGTTTTTTTATAAATCAAGATGATGACCACAGCTGTATGACTGAAGAATATGCAAACTGGGTGGTGCTTGGATTGGCTGCCATCATTTTTTTTAACCACAATCTACAGATATCCCTGTTGGCAATCTACCACAAAATGTTTTTTTTTCTGATTTAAAAACTCTTGGTACAGATTTACTATTCACTGAGGAATGCTGACAGTGGCTCTATCTTTCCCCATAATCAGAAGGCATGCCCATCACCAAATACATATTTATAGCAGTGTTTGAGGGGTGAAACAGGAACAATCAATAGCAATTGCACTTAGACCTATATACCACTTTACAGTGCTTTACAGCCCTCTCTGAGAAGTTCTCAGCCTACTGCCCCCAACAATTTGGGTTCTCATTTTACTCACCTCAGAAGGAGAGAAGGCTAAATCAACCTTGAGCTGGTCAGGATCTAACTCCTGTCAGTGGGCAGAGTCAGCTTGCAATCCTGCATTCTAACCACTGTGCCACAACAGAAGGGGAGAAGGAAGGAAGGAAAACAGAAGGAAAGAAGGGCAATAGAATCACAGTGCTTTACGACTCTCTCTAAGCAGTTTACAGAGTCAGCCTATTGCCCCCAACAATCTGGGTCCTCATTTTACCAAGCTCAGAAGGATAAAAGACCGAGTGAACCTTGAACCGGTTAGAATCGAACTGCTGGCAGTTGGCAGAATTAGCCTGCAATACTCCATTCTAACCACTGCGCCACCAGCGCTCTAACGCATCTCCTTAAAGAATCAATGAAAATTTTAACAAGCTGAATGAGCACCTATAGAAAATGGGATGAAAGCTTCTCGGCAGGTGAAATTCCCATCCTCGTCAAGGAAATGGTTTGGGTTGAACGTGAGGGGAGTCTCCCATTCGTTGGAATCATACAAGGCCGAAGCCATGTTTGGGAAGACGGTGGTACCCTGTCAAAAAGAGAAGGAGCACTTCAGTTTTGCCTTTCACCCTGAGGGAAGAAAAAAAGATGGTTATAATCTGCTGGCAACGGAGGCCGAGATGAGAAATCCCTAGGAAATTTCTTCATCCATACATAGCTTTAAAGAACATTCTTTTAAAAAACACAAATAGGTTGAACAACAGTCGCTGCTATTTTTTTTTAAAAAAAGGCGGGGGATCCCAATAAATCTAAATTTTGATGCTGACTTTGGCTGATCTGAAACAAATTAAGCAGGTTGGACCTGTTGGAAGAAATATCCTTCTGGGTTCAGTTCCAAGTGGGGAAAAAGACACTGGAAACAAGGAGGCTGTTTGGAAAGATGGTTTAATGGCGGACAAGACCACATGGCTTGAAGCTCCAGAGTGAAAAGGAAGGATGATCAAATGCTTCCAGGTGAAGGCAGAGATCAAGAAAGGGCCGAGGTGCTGAGAGTGCCTGGCTTTTATACCCTTTGTTGGGATTTGAATTGGAGCTTGTATTCTGATTGATTGTCAGACTCCCATGAGGCCACGCAGGGGCAACTCTGTAGGCTGTCCTGAGTCCCAGGCTTGGTTGAGCCTTGCTGGGTGATGATGCACTGAAAGGGCTTTTGAGCAATTGCTATAGCTTTACCTGGAGATCTTTGTTATGTAAAGTATTCTGGCCCAGGCCTTAATGGCCCACCCATTAACCAAGGTGGGGGTGAGCTGCTGCTTCTGAGTTTCTACTCTTTTTAGAGGAAATATTCTGCCTTTTTAATATTTCCCAGGATGTTTCATTTTTCTAGGGGTGAGGTGGGTGCTAACTTCCAACAGACCTGATGAGAACCTAACAGGAAATTTATCGGGGCTCAACGGCTATGGAGGGCCTCAGTCATCCAGGTTATGGTTGTCTCAAAAGTGCTTTTTCAAAAGGCAACTGGACTTTCTTTGTTTTTGCTTGAAGTTATTTCATGTCTCATCGAAGAAACTTTTTCAGCTCTGACTTCCCCACCATCCAGCCAGAGCTGAAGAAGCTTCTTGGAGGAGAAGTGAAACTGTCAGTGTGTGCTCCCTTCAAAATCCAAGAAAGAAATACCCAGGCTCCATGGATCAGAGCAAAGTTATTCTTTTACTGGAAATTGAAGAGGAAGCTACAGATGGAATTCCGAAACTGAGAATTTGGCGCGCAGATCACTTATACGAAGGAATGGAATTGTTCCCACCCCCCAAAGTCCAGAAGTCTCTTCCAATTAAAAGTTCTGAATATGATCATGTGGGCATCTTCAGGTGGTGATGAGGCCTCTGTCCGTTGACCTTGACATATTTTGATAAGACTTCGCAGCTGCACAAAAAGGGATAGAAGCTAGCAAAGAAATGGAAAGTTGAAAAGAAGAAATCATACACCCCCTCCTTTGGCTTGCCCACAGTAAAGGAATGCAAAACACCTCCAGCTCTCTTCCCCCCCACAATTACCCCTCCCCCCGTTGCTAATGACAGCCGAAAGAATTAAGCCTAGCAGTAGAGAAGATAAAGTAGGTAGGATATGGGAGAGATAAATGGGATAGACAGCAGTTAGGGTACCCGAAGAGATCCTGAGGCTGACAGAAACGTTTTCAAGGAAAACGAAGGAAGCCCAGTTGCCTTTTGAAAAAGTACCTTTGGGACATCTGAGCTCGACTTTAGGCTGGGCAGGTGAAAAACAATTCCTCCTGAGGGAAAGCAAAGCGGAACCATTTCTGATTTGTTGATTTGTTATGATAGATAGGTCTCTGTGAAGTGACAGAAGCTGAGCTCCACTCCAAAGAGATCAAACATCCATTTTTGTGTGCGCAAAGCAAGAAATGACTGTTCAATGTTTGTGCTTCAGCATCAACAAAGAATAACCCTTAGTTTCTGACAAAGATCGATGAGGGCTAATTGTGCCAAGCTGGTCAAGGAATCAGAGCGAAGGATGGTCATTGGAAACAGATGCACTTCATAGTGTTGGAAGAAATATCCTCCTGGGTTCCGTTCCAAATGGGGAAAAAGACACTGGAAACATGGAGGCTGTTTGGAAAGATGGTTTAATGGTGGACAGGACGATCACACGATTCAAGATGTTGCGTGAAGGAAAAGAAGAAGGGGCAAGATGACGAGAGATCCTTAGTTTTATACCCTCTGTTGGGCCCCACCTTAATGTTTCCTATTCCTGTGTAAGAAATATATTCCATTGGCTGTCAGATTCCCAAAGGTGGGGGTCTTAGATAACTTTGTAGGCTTTGTTTGGGCCACATGGCTTCACCTGAGTGCTGGCTGATGCAATCTTCCCAGGCCAGGTGGTGAGATGGGTAGAGGGCTTTGTTATGTAGAATACTCTGGCCCAGGCCTGAATGCCCCACCCAATTAACAAAGGTGGGGGGGGGTGAGCTTCTGCTTCTGAGTTAGGGGAAATATTCTGCCTTTTAGTATATCCTAAAATATTTCATTTTCCTAGGAGAGGGTTTTAACTTCCAACAATACCTAACCGCAAGGATGACAAAATATGGGTCACACTGTCACAACACAATCTCCCCCTTTGAATTTTGGGCAGGGAAAAGGCATGTCAGGAAACAGCACAAATCACAAAACAAATGAACAGTGATAATTATTCCTACTATGGTATTAGATGCTTGGGAATAGCTGTGGTCATGAACTTGTAGAAGGCCAATAAATTATTGCTGCTTTCTTTACACACACACACACACACACACACACACACACACACACACACTCACTTGTCTTCTCTCGAAATGCTCCAGATTTTTGAACATATGGAACTCCGACATTTCTGGAGAACAGCAGCTGTGGTTATGAATATATACAAAGACAGGTAGTAGTCCTCTGTTAACAACTGTTTGTTCAGCAACTACTTAAAGTTACAACAGCGCTGAAACAAGGACTTATGGCTGGTCCTCAAAGTTTCAACCATGACACTTTGCACGGTCAGTTCTGTCCTAGGCATTATTAACAGAGGGATAAAAACAAGATCATTTGAAGTGTTAATACCCCTTTATAAAGCCCTGGTAAGACCACACTTGGAATATTGTGTACAGTTTTGGTCACCACAATATAAAAAAGATGTGGAGACTCTGGAAAAGAGCGCAGATAAGAGCAACAGAGATAATTAAGGGACTGGAGGTTAAAATGTACAAAGAACAGTTGCTCGAATTGGGTATGTCTAGTTCAATGAAAAGAAGGGTATGATGGTAGTGTTCCAATATCTCAGGGGCTGCCCCAAAGAAGAGGGAGTCAAGCTATTCTCCAAAGCACCTGAAGGCAGGACAAGAAACAATGGATGGAAACTAATCAAGGAGAGAAGCAACCTAGAGCTAAGGAGAAATTTCCTGATAGAACAATTAATCAGTAGAAGGACTAATTGTGATTCATGTGTTTGGCAACTGGCTCACAATTACGACGGTCACATTGTCCTGCCGTTTGCCACCTTCATCGCCAGCTTCTAACAAGCAAATTCAGTAGGAAAGTTGACAGGTCACAAATGTCAATCATGTGGTATTGCACTTAATGAGCATATTAGGAATTGCCAGAATCGCCACCGTAAGTTGATGCGGTGCCGCTTAATAACAGAGTCCTCGGTCCAATTACCATCGTTAACTGACGATTCCCTGTATTGCATGTGCTTCCTTCTAGCAATATGGGGAAGAAAAGAAAAGAAAAGGTTCTAGATGACAGGAAATCGGTTACCTTTCTAATGAGAAATTTCTGGATCTTTGTGTCTCTTAGGCAGTATCTAGGCATTCCAGTCGAAATGATGTTGCTAAAACGCTGGATTTCGTGCACCACAGCATTTGTGTACGGAAGTTTCTTGCGATCCTCGTAACAGACTGACTGGCCCGGTATTAGGAATGTATCTATTTCCTGTTGAACTTTGGCTGTGGAGAAACAAAGATTTTGCACATTAACTAGAGCTAAGATTGAATAAGCATCCGGGGCCAGCCCATGGTTTATTAATGGCAGAAGCTCAGCCTAACAGGAGGGGATTATTTAGACCGGGGTGACCAACCTTGACAACTTTACGTTTTGTGGACTTCAACTCCCAGAATTCCCCCCGATAGCCTTGTTGGCTGAGGAATTCTGGGAGTTGAGGTCCACAAGTCTAAAGTTGCCAGGAATGTCCAACTTTGACAACTTTAAGTTTAGTGGACTTCAACTGGCAGAATTCTCCCATCCACCATGCTGGATGAGGAATTCTGGGAGTTGAAGTCTGTTGTGGTAATTCCCCGTTAGGAGAATGAGTGCATACAGGGAGATGTATTTGAGAGAAGTGTTTGAATAATACACACCCAGAACACAGATACACCATACAGTAAATGTAGGGTCTTACTTTCAATAAAGGTTTAAGCAAAGTTCAAAATAGGCAGTCCAAAGTCATTCACAGGTTAAATCAGTCAGTTTTCAATCCAGGGATAATCCAGTAGCAAATTCCAGTGCCAAAAACAGTTCAGTAACAGACTTCCATTAAATCCAGTAATATCACTCAATTAGAAGAAATGGAGGAACGGCAATACTTTCCAACAGAAGGAAACAGAGATACACTCACACTCTCTTCTGAGAATCAGACTAAAACAAACCAGGTTTCTGGCTCCATCTTATGGCCGTTTGAGAAACCACACCTAATTACAGTTTTGCATTTCCTTAAAGATACAGTTTTTAAATGTTTATCCTGGTTTATATATTTCTAACCCAAATACCTATTAGGTGACTTATATTCCTAACAAAGTCCACAAGTCTAAATTGCCAGAGATGTCCGACCTTGGCAACTTTAAGTTTAGCAATCTTCCCAGATGGCTTCTGACAAGCAAAGTCAATGGGGGGAAGCTGATGTGCTTAATCACTGTGTGATTCACGTAATGACCAATGATTCACTTAATGACTGTGGCAAACAAAAAAAGGTCTTGAAATCAACTCATCTAAAAATCCACCAACCACAGAAGTGTTCAAGTCCCATTTGTGATCATATATCAAGGACTACCAGTCATTCAATAGGCTTAAACTGGCAATTGAATTAACTAATATTTTAATTCCACCTTTTTCACGTACAATCCAAAACAGTGAACATACCGTATTTCCCCATGTATAAGCCACCCCTTTTTTCCAAAATTTTCAAGCCCAAAAAGTAGGGGGTGGCATATACAAAGCAGGTACACTTTTTATACGTGAAAAATGCATAAAATAATAAAGTAGGAATAAACTGGTTTTCTAGCAGTATGCTATACTTTTTTGTAAAAATTGTAAGTGATAAAAAGTGTAAGTGATTACGAGTGCGAGTACGCGATAGCTAGGCATCGGCCTGAATGCTTTGTTCCTACCGTACTCTCATTCTGATGCGTAGATTGCAGGCGTCGCCCGCACCGCTTTCGACGTCATGACCGAAATTGTAGATCTAGACGTCGCGGACGACTTTTGTCTGAAGCTTTTTCGTCTGTCGCCGCCCGTACGGACGCCGCCCGGGCTTGGCGGCAACCGTCCAGTCGACCTGCCGGCGATCGCGGGACAGACGGTGTTGCAGCACCGTCGTTTTTTTTCGTGCGACTTGCAAGATTGTACACAGTATTCATTACTGTGTTATTTTGAAATTCTAAAATGGACAAGAGACAAGCCTACACTGCAAGCTTTAAGTTAAAAGTCATTAAGTTTGCCAAAGAATTTGGTAATCATGCAGCTGAGCGGGAATTTGGACCTCCACCAGTTCGGAGGGCAATCATCAGATGGAGAAAGCAGGAAGAGAAACTTATTATGAATCTTGAATTTTGTTTCTTTGTAAATTTTCTTTCTTCATAACTTGTTTCTCTAATAAAATATTTTTTTCAAAACTTCACAGTCCAAAAATTGGGGGGGTGGCTTATACAAAGGGGGTGCTTATACATGAGGAAATATGGTACCTAATACTCCTTCTTCCTCTTTGGAGGTTTTTAAGAACTGGAGCTTTTTAAGAAGAGACTAGACAGTCACTTTTCTGAAATAGTATAGGTTCTCCTGCTTGAGCTGCGGGCTGGACTAGAAGACCTCCAAGGTCCCCTCCTATTCTATTCTATTCCATTCCATCCCATCCTATTTCGCATTTTCCCCACAACCACAACCCTGGGATTTGGGCTGAGAGAATGACTGGCCCAGAGTCACCCAGTCAGTTTTGATACTAGAATTCAACATAACACAAACACAAGCAACAGAACATAAGGACACCAGAGTCTTGGACTTTAGAAGAGCTAATTTCAATAAACTCAGAGAGAACTTGGGAAAGATTCCATGGATGAAAATCCTAAAGGGGAAAACAACTCAAGAATCTTGGGAAACTCTAAAAAGTATGATCATAGAAGCCCAGACCAGCACAATACCACTGAGAAAGAAAAACAGGAAATCCAAGAAGAAACCAGCATGGCTGCACAAAGATCTCTCTGGCAAATTGAAAGAAAGAAAGGACAAGTACAAAAAATGGAAAGGACATACAGCTAAGGCAAAATTTCAGCAGATAGCCAGAATCTGCAAAGACGAAGTCAGAATACCAAAGGCTTAGAACGAACAAAGACTTGTAACAAAAGTCAAAGATAATAAAAAAAAGTTTCTTCCAACGTATAAATAACAAGAAAAAAATCAAGGAAACAGTCAGTCCACTAAAGAGAGAAGATGGCAAGGAAATAACAGGCAACAGAGAGAAAGCAGAATTGCTTAACTCATTCTTTGCCTCAGTCTTCATGCAAAAAGAAACTATAGCTCAACCCACCAAAAACATAACTGTAAAAGACAGACCAGAAATAAAAGTTAAAATAAGTAAAAAAATAGTAAGAGAACACCTGTCTGATCTTGATGAAAACAAATCCCCTGGGCCTGATGGATTACATCCCAGAGTTTTAAAGGAGCTGGCAGAGGTCATCTCAGAACCACTGCACCATATCTTTCAAAAATCCTGGAGCACTGGGGAACTACCAGAGGACTAGAAAAGAGCTGATGTGGTTCCCATCTTCAGAAAAAGAAAAAAAAAACAGACCCAGGAAACTATAGACAGATCTGCCAACATCTAGAAACAAGTAAAATAATAACTAGCAGTCAACATAGGTTTGTTAAAAACAGATCGTGCCAAACCAATCTTATTTCATTCTTCAACACAGTGACTAAATTAGTAGACCAGCAAAATACTGTGGACAAAATATATTTAGATTTCAGCAAGGCATTCGATACAGTAGACCACAAACTACTTCTTAGTAAGCTAGAAAAAAGTGGAATAGATAGCACCACCACTAGATGGACTCGCAACTCGCTGGCAAACCGTACTCAACGAGTAGTCCTTGATGGGTCTAAGTGTACATGGAGGGAAGTAAGCAGTGGGGTGCCACATGGTTCCGTCTTAGGCCCAGGACTCTTCAATATCATTAACGACTTAGATGAGGGAATAGAAGGGGAACTTACCAAATTTGCAGATGATACTAAGCTGGCAGGAATAGCTAACACCCAAGAAGATAGGCTAAAGATCTAGATCAAGATCTCAAGATCTTGACAGACTAGAACACTGGCCCATATCTAACAAAATGAAATTCAATGTAGAGAAAAGCAAAGCCCTACACTTAGGCAAGAAAAACCAAAGACACATATAGACTGGGTGAAACCAGGCTCAATAGCAGGAACTGTGAGAGGGATCTTGGAGTCTTAGTGGACAACCAGCTAAATAGGAGCCAGCAGTGTGCAGCAGCCGTCAAAAAAGCTAATGCAATCCTAAATTGTATTAACAGAGGGATACAATCAAGATCAAGGGAAGTACTAATACCACTCTATAAAGCCTTAGTAAGATCACACCTAGGGTACTGCATCCAGTTTTGTTCACCACATTATAAAAAAGATGTTGAGACTCTAGAAAAAGTACAGAGAAGACCAACCAGGATGATTAGGGGACTGGAGGCTAAAACATATAATGAAAGGTTGAAGGAACTGGGCTTGGCTAGTCTAGTAAAGAGAAGGACCAGGGGAGACATGATAGAAGTCCTTCTAAATTTGAGGGACTGCCACAGGGAGGAGAGGGTCAAGCTATTTTCTAAAGCACCCAAAGGAATAATGGATGGAAACTGAACAAGGGGAGATTTAACCTGGAAATAAAGAGAAACTCTCTGACAGTGAGAACAATCAACCAATAGAACAGCTTGCCCTCGGAAGTTGTGGGAGCACCATCACTTGAGACTTTGAAGAAGAGATTGGACTCCCACTTGGGCGGGGGGGGGTTGGACTAGATGACCTACAAGGTCCCTTACAACTCTGATTATCTGTTATCTGATGCCTAAGGCAGATTTAGGAGTGCCTGTCTCCTTGTTTCACACCTGGTGTCTTAACCATGAAAAAATAAAGGTTTCCCAGGGAGTCATGTCCAACTCTAGAGCTCATCTCCGTTTCTTGGCCGAGGGAGCCAGCATTGTCCGAAGACAATTACTATGGTCATGTAGCCAGCATGACTTTATGCCAAAGGCACACAAAACACAGTTACCTTCCCAATTGAAGTGGTACCTATTTATATACTTGCATTTGCATGCAAGCTGGGCAGAAGCTGAGGCAAAGGACGGGAGCTCACTCGTCCCACAGAACTTGGGTCACGAACCTCTCCAGCTGACAAGCACAGCATCTTTATCCATTGACCCATTCATTAGTTTGGTCTTACCCACTAGACAAAACTATATAAGAGTGAGTTTTCAGCCATGATATTCCAAAGTCCATTCCCTGCAACTAAGCTCTTCACAATCCTTGGCTTATCAGAAGAGATGAACAGATGTTAATCAAAACATACAGTGTCATTGATCTAGGATGCTAAAAGGGGGTTATCTTGGGTATGCTTGGAACGCCCTGAGCATTTACTGGGTTTATTCAAGAGTAAACAGGTAGCCTTTCCCAATACCTCATATGCCCATTACCCTCTCTGGATTATATGTTCTTATCATGCCAGTGGCCTGAACAGACAAAGTCAAACCTTGCTTGGGCCATCTGATATTTTGAGTGGGAGATCACACCTTGTCATTTGGATAACGTTGAGTACAGGTAGTCCTCAATTTATGACCAGTGGCTGTCGGAAATTACGATGGTGCCGAAGAAAGCAACTCATGATCCTTTCCTGAAGTTACACTTCTGCATTGCTCCTGGGATTACCTGAACAAAAGCAATCCACTTGCCCTTATGACTGACTTTAAGACCAACTCCTCCAGTCCTGAGCCATCCTATGCTCCACTTAATAACCCAGATGGTTATTTAACAACCACAATGAGGAGAGGAGGGATTAGGGTCCTTAAATGAGGCAATCACATGGGTGCCTCGCTTAACAAATGTCATGACTTGAGACCATAAAGAGCAGCCTGCATTATAGATTGTAAGTTGAGGACTACCTATAACTAAATAATTCTTCCAATAATAATTGCCGTTTACAGATGAAGATGCTACAAGCAGCTTCGGGCACTGAGCATAGATGGGTTATAAAGATCCCTTCTATCTCATCCATGCTATGATGTTTCTCTCACCTTGAATATCAGGATAAAGCACCATATATAACAATCCCCAGGAGAGAGTGATGCCTGCTGTCTCTGTTCCCCCCAGGAAGAGATCAAAGATGCTCTGAACCATGTTCTTTTCATCATAGGGTGACTTGGGTTGGTCTTTCGTCTGCAGAACAAAAATGGAGAAACAAACACCTGAGAAATCTTGAAGGTCATCTCTTCCTCCAAGTCCTTGCCTGTTGGAATATGTGTTAGAATCTATTTTGTATTGCAACAATTACAGAATCGTTCAGCTAAGAGATGGCAGTGTTTAGTTTGCATCTATGGTTGTAATCTATGGTTCTATTTGTTCTGAGGAGAGTTTCCTGTTTCCTGTTACAGTTTAAAACAGTTGAACAGTAAAGCACATGGTGACAGTACTCTTTGTTTGCTCTGGGTGTCTTATTTTTTTCCCATGTACGGGAGGCCCACTTCTTGCTTGCTGTGGTACAAGAGGTTGTGCAGTGTACCAGTACTGCCACCATTGTGAGGCAGGGGTGGAGCTGGCCCACAAACCCTACACCGGCTTACCTCAAGGCCCCCGCAGCCAGGCCACCTATGCCCCGACATGTGGGTAGCTCCACTCCCGCCTTACCTGGTGGCCGTCATACCGCAAGCAACCAGACAGAATGGGCGTGCAGCCAGCTGTGCAGGCTCTTAAGTGGGGCTTATTTGGGGGGGTAGGGCTTGTATTAGGCACACAGAGAAAACATGCTAGGGCTTATTTTCGGGAAGGTCTTGTTTTCAGGGACCTTTTTTGTCCCCGCCTTCCCCAAAGAGAGAAGGTTGCAACTGTTGAAATTGGCAATGTTAGAAAGTCTGTTTATACTGCTATTTCTAACTTTCTAACATTGCCAATTTCAACAGTTGCAACCTTCTCTCTTTGGAGAAGGCAGGGACAAAAAAGGTAGCCATTTGCTCCTATCAGTCTCAGAGCCCTGGTATCCACTCCAATGCTGCATTGTCACAATCCCCAGAGAAGACGGTACTCGAGGCTACTATACAGCTTGCTGGCTGGAGAATTCTGGGAGTAGAAGTCCACCCATTTTGAAGTCCCCAAGGTTGGGAAGACTTTATGTTATAAGCTGCCTAAAACAGTCACACAAAAGAGTATCTGCTTACTTTCTCTATTTCAGCCAGGTAAAAATGAATGAAGTCTTGTTCTTTTTCTTGATGTTCTGCTTCTTGGTGCTTCTTGATCTCCTCTCTTATGAATGACTGAACAAAGTCACGTGAGGAAAATGCCTTCTGATGAGGTCCTGGAATATGCCGCATAATCCAGGGGGAAATATTGTACAGCTGGTGGAAGAGAAGTAACATCGCCTGAGTTAGGAAGCCATACTGATAAAATAAAGAAATAAGGATTAAACAGAGGCAAAAGGAACTGAGAGCCGTGGTGGCGTAGTGGTTAGAATGCAGTACTGCAGGCTACTTCTGCTGCCTGCCGGCTGCCTGCAATTTGGCAGTTGAAATCTCACCAGGCTCAAGGTTGACTCAGCCTTCCATCCTTCCAAGGTCGGTAAAATGAGGACCCAGATTGTTGGGGGGCAAGAGGCTGACTCTGTAAATCACTTAGAGGGGGCTGTAAAGCACTGTGAAGCGGTATATAAGTCTAAAGTGCTATTGCTATTGTTATTTGAGAGCAAAATCATGGAGAATGATCTTTGAGAATATTCTTGACAGAAATTATCAAGACTTTGATGTGACTCAAAACATTCTATCTTACTCCCTTTAACTCCAGAAGGTATTAAATTCTAGTTGTTTTGAACATCTTTGGAAAAAGAGGTAGAAGAAAAAAAAACTGAGTGTCAGTGAATGATTATTTCCTTACGTTTCTAATTTTTCTTTCTTTCTTTTTTCTTATTTTTATTGCTCTTATCTTTTGGTTTTATTGTTGTATTTGCAAATATCTCAGCATTGTATTCTCCTTTTCAGGGTTTCTGAGAATGTCCAGGCAATTTTTCCTTTTATTTTAGTAGAACACAATACTGAGGCAGTATTCCAGGTCCCTCAATCACAATAGAGCTGGAAGGGACCTTAGAGGTCTTCTAGTCCAACCCCCTACTTGTTCTGACCCAGGCTTCGTCAAGCTTAATGAAACACAAACTTATTTTAAAAGCAAAACCTATTTTAATGCAACACTGGGAATTATTTTCATTCCCAGCCAGAATTAATTATAAACAGTTCCCCCAGATAAGAGCACATCTTTCAGTGCTGCCAAAAAACAGAAGTCCAATTAATTATAACATAAACCAACTGAAGTACCAGAAAAAAACCGACCAGAGTACTCAGAGCTTCCAGAAGGACTCGGAAACTATTGAACTACTTTGCTTCCTGCAAAGCGTTCATCATTGAGGTCTGACTTTTATCCCTTATGGGAAGGGCAGTCACCTCCCAGCCTTACTCCTGAGTTGCCCCTTCTGCTTCAGCTGCTCTTGCCTCCTAGCAGCTCTGTGCACATGCACACTGGGAACAGGCTCCCCTGGGTCCTCTGCTTCACTGCTGCCAGACTCCGAAGGCTCCAAAGGCAGCACCCCACTCCCAGATGGTCCTGGCCCCATCCCTGTTTCGAATGCAGGACCCTCGTCCAACTCCTCCCCAGACTCTCTGCCTGGTCCCCCTTCTTCTTCACTGTCCAACTCCGCTGCCGTCTGCACCGGCTGCCAGCGAACCACAACGCTATTCAAGTAGGAGACCCTATACCATTTCAGGCATGTGGCTATCCAGTCTCTTCTTAAAAAGTGATGCAGCATCCCACAACCTCTTGAGGCAAGCTGTTCCCCTGGTTAATTGTTCTAACTGTCAAGAAATTTCTCCTTAATTCCAGGTTGCTTTTCTCCTTAGTTAGTTTCCATCCATCCAAATAAAATTACACGCAAAAATCCTTAAGTCTTGAGTCTCAAGATTGATGTAACTGTCCCTTAGATTAAAGTCCGAGATTATCATTTCCCCTTAGAGGGGAACGTCAGACAGTATCATTAGCAGGGATTATTCATCTTAAATATGTAGCTGTCCTTGTCCCCAAAAGGCAACGTGATTTTCCTTGAAGACGTTTCACTTCTCGTCCAAGAAGCTTCTTCAGTTCTGAAGAACATCTTCAAGGAAAAACAAAGTCCAGTTGCCTTTTGAAGAAACATCTTTGGGACAACTGCAGGGGTGGGGTGCTGGGGGTTCACAGGGGTTCAGGAGAGCCCCCCCCAGCTAAGATTCTGTGCAGTTCGGAGAACCCCCAAGTCCCACTTCTAGATGGCCCCACCCATCCCTCCCCTTCCCTTCCCGGAGTCCTCGTGTGCCACGTTTTGGATGTAGGTAAGTGCAGGGCGTGGGTGGAGGCTCAGGGAGGGTGGAAAATGGGCCTCCCGGAAGTTCTGGAAGGCCGGACATGGGCCCGTTTCCAGTCTCCAGAGGGCCTTTGGAGCCCAGGGAGGCCGTTTTCCCCTCCCAGAGGCTAAAGGAAAGCCTCCAGAGCTGGGGAAGGCAAAAACATGCCACTGCCATGGTGCGGGAAGGAGACTAGGCCACGCCCACCATGGCCACGCCCACCCAGCAACCAGGCAGAGAACCCGTTGCTAAAATTTTTGAAGCCCACCCCTGGACAACCGTGACCGGGATGACTGAGAATCCTCCACTGACAGGTGGCTGTCCTTGTTTGGATTATATGCGCAAAACCTCAGAGATATTTTTTCAAAATACTGTAAGCAGGAGTTTTGTACACCGGCACGTTAGCTAAAAGGAACCCAAAAGAGACATAAATGCAGGTAGTTTCCAACTTACATCCAGTCACTTAGAAAGTCCCAATGTTTTGACAGACTTACCTGGGAGGAATACATTATAACCCAGATTCAGGTTCTGATGATTACCCCTTATCCCACTCCACCCCACAGACATGTGACCACAGGTACAGCGCTAAGCAAGTAGGCCACCTCAGCATCCCACATGGCATAGTTTAAAATGGTTTTGCCCAAAAACAGATTTTACTTTTAGGTTTTGGCAGAATCACGGCCATAGCGAACCCTTGCTTTGCTTAATATTGGTGGCATTTGCTTAATGATGGTCAAATTACTTATTGATTGCCACAAAAAAATTCTGAAATCATGTGATCAACTTCCCAAAGGTGCTTTTTCAGAAGGCAACAGGACTTCCTTGTTTTACTCTTTGAAGAGTTCCACTTCTCATCCGAGAAGCTTCTTCAGCTCTGACTGGATAGTGGGGGGTGGAAGGATTAACATTCCTTGCAGACAGCTGGTCATTTGCATCCTTTTTGAGGGTCATTGAAGCACTTGGAGGTTTATCTGTGTCTTCAGGATGAGAAGCAAAATGTGTTCAAAGAAAAAATGAGTAAGTCCAGTTGCCTCCTGAACAAGCACCTCTGAGACAACCATGACCTGGATGACTGAGAATCACTACAAACTTTTAGCTATACAATTTAGGATGAACGCCCTTCGAATGGTGTGGAATGCATTTCCAGAGGAAAAAATGGCAGCCTACAGGAGCCTTTAACATTACTCAGGTGACCCTGAGGAAAAACCTCCAAGTGGCCTCAACGACCCTCAAAAAGGATGCAAATGACCAGCTGTCTGCAAGGAATGTAAATCCTTCTATTCCCCCAGAGCTGAAAAAGCTTCTTGGATGAGAAGTGAATCTCTTCAAAGAAACAAACAAGAAAGTCCAGTTGCCTCCTGAAAAAGCACCTTAGGGACACCCATGACCTAGATGACTGAGAATCTCTACAGGTGATTGGTCCCATGATTTTACAATTTTACAACCAACACAAGTGACAACCATGATGGGCCGGCTCCATTATGGTCATAACTATCTGTACGGGAAACCCAACCAATCTCACTCGGCAAGGATAGGATGAGAAATATGACTACCACCACAATTTAATCCCTTTCACATCTGTGTGACCCACAAAAAGGGGGGCTGGCTTTTTCATTGTACCATCATGGCTGCCATTTTGATTTTTGGGGGACTCCTCTCCCTGCGGGATAGGCCTGCTTCCCGGCTAGCCTTTAATACCCGTTGCAGGGTTTTTTTTGACCCACAACCTCTGAGCCTGTTCAATGACCGTAATATTTTGATTCTCCTGAGAAAAAGGAAAGAAGGGATCAGCTCACGTTACTCGCGACATTGTCAGAGGCATTGAAAATCTTCTCAATGGCTTCCAGCAGGTGGTGAAAAGTCTCGTCTTCTGTGGAGAAACGATGGCCAAAGACGAGCGCACAAATCACGTTGGAAACCGCGAGGTTCAGGGCGAAAGAAGGATTCATGGGTTTTCCTGCAAAGAGAAAGAGGGACTCGGTGACCGGCCTGCCTCTTGCAAAGATTGCATAGGGCCTGTGTGGAGAAAGACTAAGGATGACACGATAGCATCTTCTGGTCCTTGAGGGGTTGCCACAAAGGAGAGGCGGTCAACCCTGAAGGCAGGACAAGAAGCAATGGATGGAAACTAATCAAGGAGAGTCTGTAGAGGTTCTCAGTCATCCAGGTCCCAAAGGTGCTTTTTCAGGAGGCAACTGGACTTTCTTGTTTTTTTCTTTTGAAGATGGAAAAAACTGCAGATTACAGGAACCAGGAGGTGCACAGATAAACCTCCAAGTGCTTCAACGACCCTCTAAAAGGATGCAAATGACCAGCCATCTGCAAGGAGTCTAAAAAGGGGTGGGATTCAAAAATCCCAGCAACCGGTTCGCTGCCCGGTTGCTGGGTGGGCATGGCCATGGTGGGTGGGGCCTAGAATTTCCTATTTCCGGCTTCTGGTGGGCCTCCAGAACTCGGGGGAGTTCTCGGGGGAGAACTCAGGCCATTTTTGCCTGCCCAAGGGTCCAGAGGCCTCCCCTGAGCCTCTGGGAGGGAGAAAACAGCCTCCCCTGGCCTCTGGAGGCCCACCAGAAGAGAGGAAACATTTTGTAACTTCTAGTTTTTCCGGGAGGCCCGTTTTTCACTCTCCCAACGGTCTAGAGGCTTCCTCCGGACCTCTGGGAGAGCGAAAATGGCATTCCCCCGGGCTCTGGAGGCCCTCTGGAACCCGGAAACAGGCCCGTTTCCGGACTTTCAGAAGGCGTGTTTTTCCATCTCCCAGAGCCTCCGCGTTGACCCTGCACTTACCTCCATCAAAAATGGGTCACATGGAGACTCCTGGGGGGGGGGGG